TTTTAATTTGATCAAACCTTGGAAAATTGCTACATTACTGCGTAGCTACTCAGGTTTAATGTTCTACCCGTGTTTTTTTTTGTCAGAAGAGCAGAACGATGGGCGAGCGTCTAGAATAAGCTTGTTAGTTTCTAAATGAAGCTTCCATAGGAAGCTTTTTAAGAATATTATTGTACAATCTTCTTTTGGAAGCTAATTCTAGACGCTTGCCCGTCGCTTCGCACATCTACCTTAAATACACGGGCAGGACAGTAAATATAAGTAGATAAGCAGTGGAGCAATTTTTCAAGGTTTATGGATCAAAATTTAAAAAAATAGTGTCCTAAACATGAATAATATACGTCTAATTTATGGATCATGCCTATATTTTTAAGTGTGCAAACTTGATTTTTTATGGATCACTTTCATTAGTTTAAGGTTCATTGCTGAATGTTTTATGGATCAATTGCAATATGTTTATGGGTCATTCGTACAATTCCAATGCTCATTATTTAGAAATTTAGTGGTACATTTTTACAATTGTGTTGCTAAATTTCACATAAAATATTGATAATATTGATATTTTTTATGGATCATCCACACTTTTTAAGGGATTTTCTCCGAAGTTTTATGGATCATTTGGATGTTTTTAATGGAACGGTTTTCAATATTTTATGGATCGTTTTATCAATTCTAAAGGTGCAAACTTAGGGCTGCCGATATGAACCGAAATTATGGTTTCTTAATAGTAATTCCCATATAAACTTCAAATGGTTTGTGCCAAGTCAGTTTCCCACTAAATGAGTTCAAATTTTGGGAGGCTAATCAGGGCCCAATTTGGAACCGTTTGAGGACTGTGGAGCGAAAATTTCAAATTTTGCATCAGTCTAATGAGATATACCAAGCTGAAATTCAATGCGAAAAAAAAAATAAAAAATAAAAATGTGGAGTGTAGCGCTTAGATCTAATTTTGGGCCTACTAAACACAACTCTATTTGGAGTGGATTTTTTTTTTTCACAAAATGGAATGTTTCCACTGTAGATGAGTTCTATTTATTTACCTTTCAGTACGCACCGTAAAATTTGATAAAGAGAAACAAATTGTTGAGATATTGTTCAAAATCTAATACTGCTTCTTGACCCCAAACTCGGCCTACGGATTCTAAATTAGGCCAAATGCATTGAAACGCCATTGATTTCCCTTCGGCCTATCGTATGAAGATAAAAATTGATTTGATCGGAGCGCTTCTTTTGTTTTTGAGAAAAAAACAATGGGTGTAAATATTCATATCACGCGTTCTCATTGACTTCATTCGGTAGCTTTTGAATTAAAGTAGCATACCAAACGCACAATAGTCTTGTTAACTCAGAAACAATGGATTTATTTGATGTTTTCTGCTCGATAGGCCCAAAATGGGTGATTTGGCCAAAGTAGTGCTCTACCCTATTAGTGAGTGACATGAATCATGTCGAAAATCTTCGGGCTTTGGAATATGGATATGCTAAAAGCGAACAAGAAGAGCTCCTTTCCTCTCATTGAGAGGAAAGGACCTCTCATACTCGATTTCGCAAGCTTTTCTTTTTTCCTTTTTTCCTTGACTTGTTGTCCGTAGATCTTGTTTTCCGTAGTGAGTACCAATGCTACCGACACCAGGGAGGCAGTTCCCACACCTGGACCCTACCGATCGACCCTTTAACTTATGGACCAGGGACCAACGGCTTTACTCCCCTTTCGAAGGAAGGCGTATGCTTTTTCAGCTGAACGGGAATTGGAGAGAATCGTGGCTAACTGAAATGCTGGCTTGTATCGTCGAAATCGTAGGCAGAAAACTAATTAAACATTAATGCATCAACTTTTATCATTCTCTGTGGTATTTGCTGCAGAGGATGATAGGAAATGCAACTAAGATTCAATGTAATACATATTTGGGTTCCGTGTACGACAGTATTTTTTTAAGTTTAACTTTATAAATAATAGAGGCGTTCAGCTCCCGGCTGGTTCGGCTCTTCACGACAGTATTTTTAACTCATACGAGAGCATAATATGCTGAGAGTTTGAAGATCATTTCATGATTATGAAATCATTTCTCTGTCTAGAAGTCGATAATGAGCAGTCATTAGACAGATAAAAACTTTTGAGCAATCCTGAAAATGATCAAAATTGTTTCCCTTTCTCGGAGTTGACTTCAAAATCTATGAAGGAATTTAAATTAAAATGCTCAAAAGATATATAGTTATTTTGGAGTTGACTCCATATTTAAAACATGAGCAGCTCTTTGACATATAAAAGCTAATCCAGCTGAAAATACTCCAAGCTATTTCCCTCTCTTAGATTTGACTCCTTCTTTAAAACATGAGCAGATCTTTAACAGATAAATACTATTGATTAATCCATTTTCAACCCTGTGTTCTCAATTCCTTCCCTGACATCCAGTTATTGCAATTTATTACCTCTAACCTCGTGATAGCCGCGAGTATTCGGCTATCGTTAGTAAGTTAGTTTTAAGTAAGTTTGTAGTCCAAACACTGAATATCGGCTCCGAAAAGCTACAGGAAATGAGCCTGGAAAAATAAACGCATTATAAAAAAAATCCATTTTCATTCATTCATTCTTTATAACATGAGCAGTCCTTTGATACAAGCTGTTGAGAAGGCCAACTGAAAATGTTTAAAAGTTGTTTACCTCTCTTGGAGTTGACTCCTTCTATAAAACATGAGCAGTACTGGCAAGAGATTTCTTAGACATTCACCTTCGAAAATCAACTTTTGTTATTTTTTAAAGTGCACGCTAAACAGAAATGCACTACATTTGAGATGACTTCTTTTCGAACGCCCCACCCTTTATTCAAACCAGTATCTAAACAATAACATCCTTTAACTGGGATAATATCCTGTCTCAATTCCCCTTTCCTCCTCCTACACGTCAACTAGTTTTCCGACGGTCATCTGTCTTCTTAAACTTATCTCATCCGAATCAAATATCGATTCCTTTTTGTTTCAGCAGATTTGTGGGCAGCAGACAGAATGTTTACACAGCAGTTAATGCGAACATTTCAACTGCTGATAAGAGGGTACAAGTTCGTCGAATACGATGGAACGGGAAAAAAAAACTAGAATCAAGTTAGATAGAGACAAGAAGTGGAAAAGAGCATCTTGTTAACTACTGGACTTTTTCTGTACAGCAACCAATGGGGTCTGTATATCGTTTCGGTGACAACAAACCGATGGCGGACGTCAAATTATCAACATCGAAAAAAGAAATGTTATCATTCGATTCTATTGAATCGATGGCGGTCAGATTGTTTTTTTTTTTTTTTCTTCGAGTGTACCATTCAAGCTTAGTAAGCACATTTCGGAGGGTAAAAAACTGGGTCGTATCGGAAGAGAAGACAGGATTGCAAAAAATGTTATCAAATCAGCAAAGTGCACCAGTAGTTTCTATACATTTTGTGTTGTAGGGTAGAAAAGCCAGTTTTGGCCCTACACACTGAGATACACACTGAGGATGCCATATACAAATTATATATTGGGTTGATTGGGTGTAAAGCTGACACACCCAAATATGGGTAAATTTTGAAACCAAAATATTAGTAAATATTTTCCATGTATGAGTTATTTTTATGCAAATTTGGATTAAACATGAACCCTTATTAGGGATTGTCGGCTTAATGCCCAATATCAGTTAACTTTACAAAATAATGATAACATGAATGAAATGTTCACTGAGCGATTTTAAGAGAGTCACTTTCTGAGCCGGAATTTTTGATTTACGATAGTTTTATAAAATTATGAAAAACTTTGATGATCGTTATCGTTACAACTCTCTACAACTCGATATTGAACGGACTATCGAGTTATAGAACAACGATTCGGTACTTCACGTATCTGCAGGTATAAAATAGACCCCAACACCTCTGTGGGCGTGGTCATTTAGCCTCTTGTTTAGTTACTCCTATCCCTACCTAACCGCGGGGCCGGCTGGGGTACGAGTAACAATAGGAAAGATCGGGTAACCAACCCCGGTGGGACCTTGGTCGTATGCTGACAGGGAAGGAGTGACTCCTCTCTCCGGATGCAGTGCAGTTTTCGAGCGTCTGTTCACCATGAAGATGCGGTTTAAAACGGTGTCTGTTCTCCATGTTAGGAGCGGCTGATCAACGTCCTACTGCCAGCGTTGGACTCTAAACTGTGCTGTGCACGATGGTCCTCCGGCGAGACAATGGGGGATGGTGCAGGCCATACAAGCCAGCCGTAAAAACTAAAGTACAGGAAGCAAGCAATGTTAATACAGACCGGAACAATCGACATAGATCCAGGCAACGAAAACGGACTAACGATTGGAAACTCGGAACATGGAACTGCAAGTCTCTCAATTTCTTGGGAAGAATCCGCATTCTTTCCGATTTATTGAGGGTCAGCAAGTTCGACATTGTAGCGCTGCAGGAGGTTTGCTGGAGGGGATCGTCGGAACATACGTATAGGGATGGTAAAACCATCTACCAATGCTGCAGCAATACACATGAGCTGGGTACAGCCTTCATAGTGATGGGCAAAATGCGGACGCGCGTGATTGGGTGGTGATCAATCGATAGCAGAATGTGCATGTTGAGGATCAAAGGCCGTTTCTTCAATGTCAAAGTGACGATGACAATAAAAACGCTTTTACGAGCAGGTGGAACGAGAATACGACTGCTGCCCAAGCCATGACGTCAAATCGTTATCGGATATCTTAATGCTCAGGTCGGCCAAGAGGAGGAATTCAGACTGGTTATAGGAAAGTTCAGCGCTCACCAGCTAACGAACGCCAACGACCTCAGATTCATCGATGTCGCCGCCTCTAAGAACCATACGTAGTACCTACTTTCAGCATAGCCTAACGGTACACCTGGAGATCACCACAGTAGACAGAATCGCAAATCGACCACATTTTGATCGACGGAAGGCACTTCTCCGACATTATCGACGTCAGGACCTATCGCGGCGCAAACATCGATTCGGACCACTACCATCTAATGGTTAAGGGGCGCCAAAAAACTCTCTGTTGCCAACAACATTCGGTACCGACGTCCGCCACGGTACAATCTGGAGCGACTGAAGCTGCCCGAAGTCGCAACTGATTACGCGCAATGCCTCGACGCAGCGTTGCCGGATGAAGTAGAGTTCACCGAAGCCCCTCTTGAGGTCTGCTGGAATAGCGTGAAAACAGCCATTGGGTTTGTGGAGCGGAATCGACGGAACGATCGGTTCGACGAGGAGTGTCACAGACGGTTTTGGACGAGAAATCATCTTTTCCGGGATAAGAAGCGCCGTCTGGAAGAGCTGGAGTGCGAAGAAATGCAGCAGCTGTATCGTTCTCACGAAACGCGCAAGTTCTACGAGATACTCAACGCATCCCGCAAAGGCTTTGTGCCGCGAACCGAAATGTATCGGGATAAAAAAGGAGGTATCTTGACAGACGAACGTGAGGTGATTGAAAGGTGGAAGCTGCCCTACGATGAACATCTGAATGGCGCAGAGGCAGAGGACCAAGGCAGCAGGAGGAATGGCTTCGTCGGTACAGCGGATGAGGGGGGCATGCCAGCTCTCACGATAGGTGAAGTTAAGGATGCTATCCGACAGCTTAAGAACAACAAATCAGCTGGTAAAGATGGTATCGGAGCGGAACTTATTAAAATGGGCCCGGATAAGTTGGCCACTTGTCCGCACCGACTGACAGTCAGGATCTGGGATACAGAACAGCTACCGGAGGAGTGGAAGGAGGGAGTAATATGCCCAATGTATAAAAAAGGCGACAAGCAAGAATGTGAGAACTATTGAGCGATTACTATTCTCAACGCGGCCTACAAAGTGCTATTCCAGATCATCGTTCGCCGTGTATCGCCACCAGCATGCAGATTTGTGGGTAGTTATCAAGCCGGTTTTGTGGACGGGCAATCGACAACGGACCAAATTTTTACGTTGCGGAAGATCCTCCAAAAGTGTCGTGAATATCAAGTCCCTACGCACCACCTACTCATCGATTTCAAGGCCGCTTATGATACTATTGACCGTGAAGAGCTATGGAAGATTACCGACGAGAACGGTTTTCCCGGGAAGCTGACCAGACTGATCGGGGCCACGATGGATGGTGTACAGTGCTACGTGAAGATATCGGGTGCGTTATCGGACCCGTTTGAAACTCGCAAAGCACTTCGACAAGGCGATGGTCTTTCCTGCCTACTGTTCAACATTGCGCTAGAAGGTTTTATGAAACGTGCGGGCTTAAACAACAAATGTTAGCTGGAGGAACCGAGCGCGATAGGACTCGCTAGGCAGAAGCGTGACAATCGATGGTGGATAAATTTATGAACCTCGGATCATTGGTGACGTCGGATAACAACTGCAGCAGAGAAATTCGCAGACGCATAATTGCCGGAAGTTGTGCTTACTACGTACTCCACAAGACCCTGAGATCGGGTAAACTTAACCCCCGTACTAAATGAACCATGTACAAGACCGGTAGTTTTCTACGGGCACGAGACGTGGACGATGCGCGATGAGTGCTTCCCGAGCAGGAAAGAATATCTTGATACCTTAAATTGGTATGGATGAGCCTGACATAAGAGGTAAAATACCAAAAAATAATACAAAAAAAAATGTTCCCACAATAACATTCCAATACCAAATTATGATAATGCAATACCAAAACAATACCACCCAGGTATTCTTTTGGTATCCAAATATCATTTTTTGGTATTTACAAAGTATTTTGCATGTAATTTTTTGGTATTATTCTTTGGTATTTTACCTCTTATGTCAAATTTTGGTATCAGATCAGAATTAGGTATTCATTAGTTATTTTCTCCTGCTCGGGTTAGGACCATCTTTGGCGGGGTATGTGCACACCAAATTTTGTTATTAAGTTCCAGCAAAACGAATTGCTGGATCACTTCCAGCAAAATCAAGTAAATTTAAAGAAAATCAGTAATTTGAAAAATTTTACTGGATGTTTCAGTAAATTGTAACAAATGTCAAATTCAGGCGTGTCAGGCAGTTTGGTTGGTAAATAACTGGTTTGCGGTTTTGAGTATTTTGCAGTCCAAGAAGCGTTCGGCTTGCGAATTATCATTGGGATGACGTAAATTTGACTGGAATCGTGGAGTAAGTATTCTATACTTTGTCGGCGTACTTGAAATACTCACTTCTTTTCATCTTTGCAGTCCTTTCACCTGAAAACTCACCCATTGAGGCCCATCAAAAGTTCTTCAAAAAGACTTTATTTTTTTCCTTTGGCTCGCAATTCTAATCAATTTGAAGAAACCGGTGTTTAGTATTATATTAACATGAAATAGTGCATATGTAATAAAATGTGTTTTTAAAACTTGTAAAACAAATTAATATATATAAAACATTGAATACTGCGGTAATTCTAGCCTCGATTCTAGCAAAATGATTCACTTTTCGTTTTGCTGGAAAAAACAGTAAACATTGCTGATTTAACAGTTGGGTGCTGTCAAATTGGCACTAGATCAATTTGCTGGTTGCCCAGCAAAAACACTTTGCTGGATGGATTGCTGGACTTTCAGCTCGGCAAAATCCAGCAAAATATTGCTGGTTTTCAGCGATAAAAAATGGGTGTGTGAGAACGGTATATGAAGGAGAAGGATGAACCACGAGCTGGTGCAACTCTATGGCGAACCCAGTATCCAGAAAGTCGTGAAAGCTGTTACGTTTTATTTGATGCAAGCTTCTTGAGCAGAATCAGAGTAGTTTCGCTTGATCGTGCACATTAAAATTATGCTTCATGGGCAAACGTCACCAGTCAAATTGACGGATATCGCCGCACGGACGAATGGAATAATAGCACTTCCGACAACAACACACGAACACAACTGCAGATGACGTCGCAACGAAGCCCGTCGCTCAAGCAGCAGCAAAGCAGCAGAAAGTGCAAAAGCGTGGTCTGATTCGGGCGGCCATCGCCGACGCGGTAGTGAAAATCGCGAAAACTTTCGCGATTCGATCGCAATAGCTCCAAAAGCAACTGCGGCATTTCGAAGAGGCCATCGAGACAGTTTGTGGAGACTGTGAGCGCCGAGTACGGCACGAAAAGTCATTTGCAGTCACTGCCCATATTTTCCGTCGTCGCGAGTGGATTCTTTTGACGGGTGCGCGCAGTATCAGCGACAGTCCATTGTCGGCAGGTTGAAGCGACGTTCGATTCCGACACGATTGCCTTGGGGAAGTAGGCAGCTGGTGGCAACAACATCGGCATCGACCAGAACCGCCGAGAAACGACGAGCGCTAACGCTGTGACCTCGGACGCCATCTTGTACATCAGTCTGCGGGATTCATCGTGCACATCAGACACGTGAGGCAACTTGGGACACGTGAACCACTGCTGGATTAGGGACTCGATATTCACTGCGGCCACAAGTCGGACGGAGAAGAAAAGTCGTGATTCGATACTAAAAGCGCATCTGCTCCTACATACAGTCGATCGAGTGAGCCACGGCGGCTGGATACGGCCAGCCTCGGAAGACAAAAGAGAAAAGCCTTCAATGCGAAGGCTTTTTGTTTTCCAGCTCGAATCGACGAAAGAATCAGCGACATAATAGTTTGACCAGCTCAGGGTACAGCGGCAACGCTGAGTGAACTCGGTCCGAAATTGAGTCGCCCCCTGGTCGGCGCTGCACCGTCAAAGGAACTCGGCTTGGACCGTACGTGCCGATACGTTGTCGTGCAAGGTGTGCGAACTGAAAGCGGACCTACATCGCCAGTAAGCGGGTGACGATCTGAACCCGATCGCTTTGAGGTGGACGCCAACCGTCATCAGGCCCTCGAAGCCGGTCGCGCTGGAGCATGCACGGTGCCTCCACGTCGGCACAGTCCGAAGATCGACGGTGGTGAGCTGTGAACGAGAGGATGTGCGGATGTTCCGGTAGCAGTGAGTACACCAGTGAAGAGATGAAGCATTGAAGAAGAAGAAAAAAGAACTAGCTAGGCGATTCTGAAGAACAGGAGCTCAGGAGTTAGGTGTAACATGGGAGGGAAATAAAGCTTGCACTATGTTATCGTATGTTTTGTTGTGGTAGTCATTCATGCTCTAGCCGGTACGACCAATGCTTTTGTCCCTGCAGAGGTCGTTTTGCAACAAAGCTCATACGAACAGTCTCGAAGTGTTAGAGGGTATGTTTCACCTCTCTGAACGGTTTTCGAAATTGTCCCTCAGGCTCCACACGCGGTGTAAAATTATGAACCCACTGGTGATTGCAAACTTTGAGAAGCTTCTTGAGCTAAACCCTCAAACTCATTTTATGTCATTATACTACGTGTTCATAACACAGGATGTCAGTTCTTCGCAGCATAATCTCTATCGTGTTTGCTTCTCCAACTTCGGCAATCCTGTTAAATTTGATGTATCCATGACGCGGGAGATTCGTGAGATACCAGAGCATCATCGTTCCATGATTGCTCCGTCAATTTTTGCTGCAAAGTTTCGCCAAGTTGATTCCGCAAGATCGTTCTTCACAGATGGACCACTAATAGAGGCGTCCGCTGGTTTTGGTATTTATAATGAATTTCATCATTTCGGATCACTTTTTCATTTTTACGGATAGTCTCAGTTCTGTAAAAGCTATTCGCTCCATGAGGCTGGTAAAGCACTCCTCGTATTTGCTCATGAAAAAACTAGCGCTTCTAAGTGCTTTACCTTTAAGATCTTAATTTTACACAAGTCTCATAATTTTGTAAACTTGTATGATATATGACGCTCCATTTATATTCAGCATAGTAACGGAAATGTACACTACTTTTTTTAGCAGTGTAGATTTATGACATTAATAATGTATAACGCAAATGATAATTTGGCGGTGGTGTAGTGGTAAGCGTGATTACTTCTCACCCCAGCAGGCCTGGGTTCAATCCCAGTCGGCGCCGCCGGGATGTTCTAAGGCATAATATCTCTGATCACGCCTTCCTGTGGAAGGGAAGTAAAGCCTTTGGAACGCCTTGGGAAAGTTTCACGTAAGATGTTCAATAAGGTGAAAATCACTTCTGATTGGACTCAATATAAGAAAACCCTATCTGAATATAATAATGAAATACGGAAATCTAAGAGGCGGTCTTGAATTCAAATGTGTGAAAATATAAACAGTACTCCTATAGTCTTGCGAAAGACCATATGATTGAACTTGGTAATCAAAAATAGCATGATGGAGGTGTTTTACCAAATCTCCCTCTGAAACTTTAAATTTAATGATTGAAACTCATTTTCCAGGTTCGGTATTGTGTGTGGGATCAGATAATTCTGATTCTGTTGGTGAAATGTGTTCTATAGAGACCTCACCAGTGTCTCAGAGAACAGAAAACACCATACCAGATATAGCTGATGAAATTTTCTCAATTGCCAGAGTGGAGAATGCTGTGAGATCTTTTCAGACTTTTAAATCTGTGGGTGTGGATGGCATATTCCCGGCACTACTTCAAAACGGTGAAGCAATGCTGATTCCGTCTCTAACTAAGATTTATAAGGCGAGTTTAAGAATAAACTACATTCCATAAAAATGGAGATTGGTAAGAGTTATATTCATACCGAAAAACGGGAAGCGTGATAAAACGCAGCCAAAAGCGTTTAGGCCCATTAGTCTCTCATCAATTTTACTGCAGACTATGGAAAAGGTGTTGAATGACTTCATCAATTCAACTTACATGTTACCGCATTCAATGTCTAATTTTCAGTTTGCGTATCAATCTGGAAAATCAACAGTTACTGTTCTCCATACTTTGGTAACTAAAATCGAAAGTTCACTTTCAGTTCAAAAAATCGCACTTTGTTC